ATAAATTCAAAAAATTACCCTGAGTGTTTTGCGGTTGCATCTTTGGCTTGTTGTATTCCAAGGAATACTTACTTATTTCTAAATAGTTTATTTTGCATGCTAATATTCATCTTCTTGGTTTGGTTAGCTATGACTCTGTCCAAATAATAGCATAAACCAAATTTGATCTCAGGATTTGTCAATTTGTTCTTAACATTATTGGAGTTAAGGCTTAAGATTATATCCAGCAGTATGCAAATGACGATAGAGCTAAAGCTCCCACTTCTTATTAATGATGTCACAAATCTCCCTATAACTAAACTCATCTCCTCCTAAGTTATGGGCTTTGAACTCCTTAGCCTCATATATTGCACTATAAGTGAAGGTCATAGCTGATTTTTTATCTGCGTCAACCATTCTTGAAACTGGGATCAATAGTCTTATTATTGTTATTGCATAACTACACTTAACAAAAATCTTTCATTTAGAACAATTTTCCTTAACTTTTTTCCTTTTAGATTTCTTTGGCCAAGCGCTAATATGCTATTGTTTAGAAGTGTATATAGTCTCTAAAAGTTGCCTTGCTTTCAACATGCCTTGTAGAGTCAAACAGATTGTACTAAATCTTAGTTGTAACAATTCGTATGAGTTTCTTTTTATCATTTTTTTCATTAAAGTCAAAACTCAAAACTCATGAATGATTGGAGATGAAATGAATTTTATCCTTTGCTTTGTTCAAGGCATTAGTGTGTTGAGGCAAGTAATCAAATTTCTCTAAATTCAAGTATATGCAATGTGCTGGACAAGGAGTTCAATGCAGGTGTTTTTTTTCTTATCCATCAATTTATTTCCTATGTCCTATAGGAGCTAGCATTATTTATAACAACTTATACCATAAGTTGCTCTCCAATTCACTCTATGACTATATCAAGAAGCCCAAACATATATTCCATATCCTTGACTTGATCTGATGCTTCAATAGACATTAAGAAAACAGTCGTGTAGGGATTATTAATCAAAATATTGATTAAGCCACTATTTTTAATATCAGAACAATCATTAGACATGATCATCACTCTAGTTTGATTCTAGGCTCTCTTAATCTTCTCATGACTCTTTCAATCTTATTCAACTCCAATACCCAAGTTCTCAGCTCATAATATATGGATGGTGGTTTCAAGCCTTAACCATAGGAACTTATGGAAAAATTAGGAAGCGGAGGTTGCCACATTAAATGGTTTGTCATTTTCATTAAAAAAATAAAACTTTTAATATTCATGTAGACCCACTTGTACAACTCTATAGCATTCTCATGAGACATCTTATGGGCTACCCTCATGCCGTCATCTTTGTCATCCTCCACATTTACCATGTATTTCTCTTGAACATTTTCATGGCATTTGTGGGAAAGAAGATGAAGAGTTTTGCCAATAGGGTTACTGCCAATAAAGGAACTGACATCTATTTTGTTATCAAGCTGTCATTGTGCTAAATGTGACATTGTCACCTTGTTCATATAAGCACTGATCTCCTTTTTCACCATCTCAGGCACCTTGGTACTTGGTGCAACATTCTTGTGAGAGCTAGAAAGATGCCCTTTCATTCTTTTAATATCCTCTTTAATAACTTTTTTTGCAATAGTTACACTTTAGAGAAATATGTCTTGTCATTCCCTCCAATATCAACGTGCACGCAATGCCTCCATATTTGTTCTTGTTTATATCCTATTTTTTTTCTCATTACCTCTGATCATTTTAGAAAACCTTTAAAAAGGTAAGAAGAAACAAATAATCACAAAAGAAGAAACTCTGCATAAGCAAATAATAGATTTTAAGGTTAAGAAAAAAAACTATTATTATCAGTTAGAAGAGATGCGGTGAAGGAAGAGGAGATGCGTCTAATTTTGAGGTGGGGAGGACATGATAACGGTGCTAAAAAGGAGATAATTGGCACCGACGAGAAACGAGATAGCTGAAAACAACGTGAAAATCAAGTATCTTGTTTTGTGTGAGATTGACAAGTGGAGGGGCACATTTTTGCATGAGTCAGGTGTGAGGGAAAGAAGCACTAAAAGGGGGGTTTTAATTAGTAATATATATTTTTTAACTTTTTTAAAAAATAAGTATCTTAACCCTAGTAATATGAGGCGCATGTCTCAAATTGCTTGAGGTTAGGCACACCTCACAATATGTGAAGCATGCATCTCATGACAAAATTGCTTAAAAATAATGAAAACCATGAGGCATACATCTCATGAAGAATTTGCTTAAACCACACATAAAAGATCATAAGTGCACATCTCATAAAAAAAGTTGCTTAAAAAGCTCCAAGGTGCCCTGATTCCCTATAATTGAAACATGTTTATAATGGAAGTAACACACCACATTGTGTAGGCAAGTGCTGAGTGTGCCTACCACTATTGTATCAGGCAAGCCATGTTTCCTTAATGCCACCCAATGCTTTTGATAACATTGGTATCGTGAAACCCCTTGTAAAAGAAGTTAAACTCTTAAACATCGAGGCACTTTTTGGTATAATGGCCAGAATTTCATTAGGAAACTCCGCAGTTAAGCATGCTCATCCCGAAAAAATCCTGAGAGGACTAACCTCCTGTGAAGTTACACTGACATGATAAAACCGTGAGGCTCTTAGGCCAAAACAGATAATATCTCGATTGTTAAGAATTTGAGCTGTTACAAATGGTATATAATTTGATATTACTTGAAGTTATCTCACGGATCTTGTGGCATTTTGAACTCATCATCGGTATACATAATATAGTAATGAGTAATATCAAGAGTAGTTGTGGTGATTAAAAGAGTTCCAAAAATAAGAGAATTTGGTGATGGATTTTTATTAACATATTTGTTGTTATTAATCATGCAAATCCTTAGTTTAGATATCTTAATTGAAGTTTCTTTGCATACTTGGTTGGTTTTATTATTCTCGAAGGAGCTCAAAAGCTAGAAAAATATACAAAATTTTGAAAAGTTTTAATAAGTAGATCAATGATGTTAAACATGAAATATAGTTGTGATAGCAATAGAGTTAGCAATTAACAATTAATAATATAGGATTATTAAATATACTTAGCTCTGATAGGCTTGATTATCTTGGTTCTATTATTAAAAACAAGTGATGCAGTGATAGGGCTTCTATTTGGAGGAAATTTGGAATTATTTTAAAGAAAATGGAAATGGAAGCAGGATTCACATCTCTTGATTCATGAGGCTCTCAAGCTTTTTTTACGACATTATTGGGAGCGAGAGTCGTGTTATTTTACTTCATTATTTTATCCGGTTTATACATGTATGGCCAAGGCATGATTCTTTGTGGTTTTTGTTTCACATGCTTTGGTGTGATCGGTGGGATAGAAGTGTAACTTGACGTGCACAACCTGTAATGTAGGATTGCTTTGGATTTTTTAAATATATTGCTAATTCGACTGTTATTATGAATTTTTAAATTAAGTTATCATTAGTCTAAATTTTAATTGAGATTGATCTTTTGCCAACTATATGTGCTAACCTGAACTATGAGGAGTCTATAATTAATTGAGGCATGCAACTTCTAACCTTATGGGTTTAATAAAATTTATTTTCTTTTCAATATTATAAGTTCAAGTTGGATTTGTGATTCCTTCGAACATAATATAGTGTGACTACTGTTTGATTTTTGGAGAAATCATCTCCTTGTACCGATGCGACTTTGGTAATTTTATTCCTTATGTTTTTCTTTTACATAAATTTTATCCATTTGTTAACTTTGTCATTTTTTAGTACACTTGATTTTGTTAAAGAAAATGATAAAGAAATTCTTTTGCTCATTGATTTTATTTATTTCCAAATTTCTCTTGAAGTTTTTGGATTCTTACGATCATTTTATCATCTTTCAAGATTACTATTGCTTGTTATCATTGAAGGAGAGTTGCTAGCTTGATTGATAATTAGTAATTTGTGAATTATCAAATTTCTCTATATCAAAGCATGTCAAGCATCATATTAGTTGCAGTAGAAAACCGCATCCTGACTTTTGATTATACATAATTTTCCATAGAATTTACTGAAGCACTAGCCCACCTGCAGTGATTTTTTGGTATCTCTGTCGTAGATTTGGTCATTGAATGCATGTGTTATTTGACATCTTTAATATTTATAATGATGTATGTATATCATTTAAAAGGTTTTATCAATTTCAGGAGGCTAATACCAATGTCCAACAACAACAACAAAATCATCAAGCCTTTGTCCCACTACGTGGGGTCGGCTGCATGAATCCTTTTTCGCCATTGTGTCCTGTTAAAAGTCAAATTCTCATTTAAATCTAATAAAGAAAGATTATTTCTAATATTTTCTAATCAAGTCTTTTTAGGTCTATCTTTACCTTTCTTAACCTAAGTCAAATTTAATACATATATTTTCCTAACTGGGTCATCGAAAGTCCTCCGTTTGTGACCAAACCATCTAAGACTACTCTCTCTAATCTTATCTTCCACTGGAGCTACTCCAACCTTTTCATGTATATGCTCATTTTGTAACCTATCTCTAAGGGTAAAGCCACTCTTTCACCTAAGCATGCTCATCTCTGCAACACTTAACTTAGTACTATGCTGATACCAATATGTTCCATTGACATTTTTTTTAAGAATGAAATTGAATTTGCATCATTGGCCAATTCACCCTTACAATCCTATAGATAAGAAATGGTCGACTTGCTGTGATGATTTTATCTATGCTAATTATTTTTATTAATGTTCTTTGAGAATGTTGGGCCCCGAAATATAAATTTGATGTTCCAAAATCTCGACAATGAGGCTTCGTTTAGGACAGCCTTCTTCTTGCTTTTTAAAACGACTCTCTAGTATAAAAATTTCAATTTGAATTTTTTGTACTTGTAAGCCGTTTTAAAAAAACAGTACGAAAGTTGTCCCAAACGAACCCTGAGTTTCATTATCTTAATCAACTAAAATAGCTAGCATCCACATGCTAATTACTTCGCTTTATCATCACAACTTTTGACAGGTATCGTGCCATCACAAGTGCTTATTATCGCGGAGCTGTGGGTGCATTACTCGTGTTCGATGTCACCCGTCGTGCTACATTTGAGAATATCGAACGTTGGCTAAGGGAGCTAAGGGAGCACACAGATCCAAACATTGTTGTTATGCTGGTTGGGAACAAGTCCGACCTTCGTCATCTTGTCGCTGTATCAACTGATGATGGCAAAGCATTGGCAGAGAGGGAATCCTTGTTTTTCATGGAAACCTCTGCTCTCGAGTCCACCAATGTCGAGAATGCCTTTTCTGAGGTTTTGACTCAAATCTACCGAATTGTTAGTAGGAGAGCCGTCGAAGCCGGCGAAGATGGAGCTTCTGCTATTCCGAGCAAAGGTGAGAGAATTGATATAAATGATGATTCTTCTAAAAAGAGGTTTGGCTGTTGCTCTAATTAGAGGTTGAAACAGAACAGATGAAGATTTGCAGGTCACAGTAAGTATCTAATTAGGAAAACAATAGATACTTCCGTTTCATTACATTATTTATTTCATCTGGCTAGAAATCTATAGATGCAGATTCATATATTGATAGACTAATATTGAAGGCCTGCTATATTTTGAAATTTGGCCTATTAAGTATCTTTTTTTTAAGGAAATTACTTGTTCGAGCCAGATGAGGATGAAGCATATTTTAATTTGATTTTTTTATGTTTTTTATTTTTTATTTTAATTTCTTGTGAGATCTGTTTGTTTACTGTTTCTTCTGGTAAAAGTATTTATGTTATTTTGTTGCTAAATTGCTTCAGTTTTGGACTAAAGTTCATGGCCTGAACATTCTGAAAATTTTCTCCAAAATCTTTTTTGTGGCAATACAGATGGGGTGACCATTGGGCCTCCCCAACGATTTTGTGGTAGGTTGACTTATCTTAAATTTGAAGTATGCAAAGCAATATATTTATAGTAAGGCTGCATTTGGGATGGTTTTTTTATTGCTCTTAAAATAGAATTTTAATACAAAAATTTTATTGCTTCTTAAAATGGAAGATTTTTGTACTAAAATTTTATTTTAAAAAGCAATAAAAAAGTCGTTCCAAACGAATTACAAGTATATTTTCTATGTTCACAAATGCTTTATTTTTGATTCGAAGTATTCAAAAGAGTGTGATATATTGGCTTTGCCATAAAATAATTGAGTACTTGGTGTCTGCCATTGTTTTAAGTTAAGTTACTGATAATTGCTTTTATACATTCCGGTAGCATTTTGTATATGATTTGTTTCATGAGCATAGGCGAGGCCATGGAAAGTCTCTACTTGCAACTGAAAGGAATTTGAGGTAGGGTATTTGCTGCTCCATTTCTATTATATAGAAAATCTGTTTGTTTGAGATAGTTTTCTTACTGTTTTCTAAGTCTGTTTTATAGTACAAAAATTTCTTGAAAGCATAAAAAAAATAGTGCTTAAAAGCTATCATTTGGAGTAATTTTTTAACTGTTTTCTAAAACTGCTACTTAATACAAAAGTTTTTTCAAACTAGCGAAAAAGTAGCGGCAGAAAATTATCCCAAACAAAGTTTAAATCACATATATAAATATTGGGGATGTTGTTGTTTCTAAGATGGGGAGAGGTGATATACCTTGGTAGTTTTATGTAATGACTATCTATTTATCTCTATTTTTGTAATGGTATGAATCTCTAGTAAATTAGAGTCTTAAGCCCCTCCCCCTTGAGAACAATTATTACGTCATATGATCGGACGTAGAGCTACGTTCGACCGCCAAAAATATGTCGTCACGTGCTCTTACTTTTTACCGCGCGGCCTGACGACTTGACCTGGACCAGAACTCGGGAATGCTATGCTCGCGTATTGCGAGGTATTACTCGGTATTGTTAGGTATTGCTTGGCAATAACGAGAAATACCGCTCCGTGAATACCAATACCGAGTAGTACCGAGCAATACCGAGTTGTACCGAGTTTTTCTAGAAAAACTCGGTGAAAAACTCGGTACTGCTCGGTATTGCTCGGTATTACTCAGTATTTGCTCGGTATTGATTATTGCCGAGCAAAATCGACCAATACCTAGCAATACCGAGCAATACCTAGTAAAATCGAGAAATACCGAGCCATCCTGGGTCCGTTCCGGGTCAGGTTGTAGGGGCGCGCGGTAAATAGAGAGAACGCGTGGCGCGATTCTACTGGCAGCCGAACGTAGAGCTATGTCCTGTGACCAGACCAAATAAAAGTTGCCCCCTTGAAGCCTTGCAGACCATGTTTCTTTAAGCTAGTCTTATATTTGACTCATCTGGGTTTAGCTAACCATAGAAGCTACTCCAAGCCACCTAGAGACTTTGCCCAACTTAGGTGGAATTCTAATTACCTGGTCAACCCTATAATCAACATAATTTAATTTGGTCAACTTAGGTGGTGAAACCTAATTATGCTTTGTCAAACTCAGTCTAAACCAAACTTAGGGTCAACCTTAGACCCACCTAATGGCCCATTATTACTATGGATGGTTAAAGTCAACCTAGTAAGATTTTCTTTGGGTCAGTTTTCTTTCTACTTAAAGTAGCTTTTTAGTAAAAAAAAAAAAAAAAAAAAAAAATT